GAATTTTCGTTTCCCAAAGAGACGGGCAGTGTTGGCCATTACATGGGGTCATTCACTATGAGTCAGAATGGACTCGCTGGCAGTGGGTTGTTTGTTGGGAGTTTGCAGGGACTGCTGGAGAAAGGCCAACCTCTCAGCTAGGAGTGGTGCGGACACCTCACCCAGGATGGCTGTGTGTGCTCGTCTACGCGGCAGATCCGCTCCTCCCTGAAATGCTGCTGATGTCCTTGTTGCTGTGCAGGATGATAGTAAGCACACACAGGGATACCATGTGCTAACAGACCTTCGCAGTCATCTCTGAAAAAATTCTATTTCCTCATTTTTAAATAGGCGTGAATAATTTGTATCCTATTCAGCCAATCTTCAAAGTGAGTCTAAATTGACAAGTATGTGTGAAAATATTTTCATCCATAGCCATTATTAAAATCTATGACGGTTTTGGCCAGAGGAACCACTTCAAACAGGTCAACGCCAACATCCCTGGGTTGGAATCACTTCCTGGTAATGGTTTTCTTTGGGGTTTTAAGCCAGTGGTTCCCAATGTGTGTTCTGGGGAGATCTGAGGAGGGGCCATCTGTAAGGTGAGAACTCCACTTGCAGTCCCACGAAGTGACGTGCTTTTCACGTCTTGCTCACGTGTGGAGTTTCCAGAGGCTATAGGATGTGTGATGATGTCACCGCCCCTCAGCTACAGGGAATGCTTGTATCTATTTTCATGTTCTAGAAATGTTTCTATTTTGAATACAATAAATATCACAAGATAGAGCCTAAAACGTAAACAAGAGCTCAGTCATTCTTGAGCTCTGTGGGCTCCCAGTTGTTTGTCAGGCCTGAAGGGATTCCGAGATGAAAACACTGAGACCCACCGTTTGAAAAGCACAAGAGGACACCAGGAGACCCGCAGTACCAAACACAGACCGGCCACACAAGGAGAGAACCCACAGATGGCAGGCTGCACTGACTCCTCCCCGATACGATACGCAGCCTCCAGACCAAAATGACTGTCAGCGAGGTGGTCACATCCAGAGAGTCACACCCCATTCACGAGACCAAGGGCCGTAAGTGTACGTTCATTAGAACACCGCTCCACCCATCTGCTCACGTACCGTGGGCAGCTGGGTTTTGCCACAGAGGCAATGTTTGGTAGCTGAGACAGAGACCCTATGGTCCGCGAACTCTACATTCTTTGCTCTTGGCTCTTTACGGAGGAGGGTTGACGGAGTGTCTTTTGGTGGCCAGCGTCTACTTGGCTGGGCACATGAGCAAAGTTCTGCCCTCGTCCTTCCTGAAGTTCAAGAGTGCTGCACTTTTCTGCTGCTGTCTGAGGGGTGCCAAGGAGTATGTGGGAAAAGATCCACTGTCTCTTCATTCCATTTTCCCATGTACTTCTTTTTGAAGCTCCTCCATATGCCCAACAATTATAGATTTTTTTTAAAAAACACAAGACTAATTCTTAGTTTTTAAAATAAATAAAACACTTTATAATTTACCAATAACAATCCACAAAATATTCAGAAAAGTAAAGCCACATTTAAAAGGCAATTTTTACTATGTAAAATTTTCTGTAGGAAAACTATCCTAAGTGGACTTAAAATCCATAGCAACGCCATCTTTATTTAATAGAATTGCCACATTGCCAAAAATACAATAACATTTGAAAACGTCACTGAAAGGAAGAACCACCGTAGAATGCATCATTTCAAAGATAGATAATATGTTCTTAAAAAAAAAGGCTGTTTAAAAGAGAGACTCTAGAAGCGACACCTATGTTACCCGTCCCCAAGGAATGCCACGCGTGTTCTCCGAGGCACACCCCGGAAGCACTGCTGGTATAAACCAACCAGGACGCAGCCACAGACTGCGACAGTGTGCCTGTCAAGTGGTGAACACAGCCACCACTACAGCGGTTAGTGTGGTGGACCAAGCTGTGGGAGGGAGTGTCCGAGAATCGACGGAAACTCGAGGGTGCTCAAGCAGCCCACGCAGCGTGCCTGATCACGGAGACCAGGACAGGGGAATGACACCGTGGCTCCTGGAAAACGAACAAGCAGCACTACGAGGTCCAATTCCTGCCAATCGTATGCTTACAAATGTGACCAAGGCCAAGTGCAAATTAATTCCTAGCGTGTATAAAGTGCTTCAGAATTCACAATGACACATAGGAATTTGCTTCCGTGTTTTGGTGACACGCTCCAACAGCCATCAACTTCTCTGTTTGGGCTAAACAATAAATACTAGCTTAGTGTAGACATGGGAACACTTAGAGAAGCCGCGTTTAGTGACAACTGTGCTTCTGCTGCAGCAGGCGTCGTGGATGTTGGTAAGCTGCGCTCTCCAGTTCTCACTGCCCTGCAGGGAGGCATTCACAGGGCATGTTCTACACTGCCCATGCCACTGTCTAGGAAATGGACTGGGCCGAGCAGCCTCACACTGGGCTTAGACACGACATGGCTCACTCTGTCTCTCCACTCTTCTTGGAAGCGGCCCCGGTTGAGGCTTCCGCCTCGCACTTCCTCCCATCACAGCTCTCCTCAGCGGGGGGGCCCCCACTCTCACTGGTGTTGCTGGCAGTGCCCAAGCGGGCTCGGATGCGAGCTCCTGGCTGGTATAGCTGCATGGCTGGCCGGTCCTGCCAGGAGAGAAAAGCAGGGTTAGTCTTAGGGAAATGACCCCCTAACCC